TTCTCTCTCTCTCTCTCTCAAATAAATAAATAAAATCTTTTTTAAAAAAATGAAATAAAAAAAAAAAGGACTGGGAACCTGTAATTCAGAGGAGCCCAAAGTAAGTCTCCCTGCCTCTTTGTGCCTTTGGGAAATTTTCCAAGTCAGCTTCCTAGAAGAGCCTGGTTTTTTGCTCTCTCTCTACCTCATGCTTTCCCTCCCTAACACAACTCTTTCCCCATGGTGTTCTCTCTATGACAGCATGTTCACTCAGTCTTTTCCAATGCACAAAACCACCTTATACAAATTAAGGAACACACTCAAAATATCCAGTTCAGCTAGACACAGATTCCCACCTTGGGCAGGCTATTAGCCATTATTACCAATCCCCTTTTCCTAATTTATTTTCCACCCTTCAGTGGTAACCTCATGCTTACGGCTAGAATTATTTTTCTTAGCATCCTTGAGTCATATGTATATACTCATATATCTAAAACATTGGGTATTATTTCATAAAACAACCCTGAGAGATAGGTATATTTATTATTGTCATTACTTTTTACAGATGAGAAAATTGAAGCCCAGCCAATAAGTGACTTGTTTTATGGTCCTTCTCCTGTTACTAAGATACAATTAGAATGGAATTTAAAAAAAATTTTTTTAAAGATTTATTTATTTATTTGAGGGGGGGGACGGGTAGAGGGAGAGGGAGAGTGAACCTCAAGCAGATGCCCCACTGAGTGCGGAGCTTGACGCCCGGGGCTCGATCCCACGACCCATGAGATCATGACTTGAGCTGAAAACAAGGGTTGGCGGCTTAACCAACTGAGTCACCCAGGTGCCCCGGAATTTAAAATTTTAACTTTAAATCACCATACTATTTCCCAAATATTCCTTGCAGCTTCTAGGTACCCTTTCTCCATTCCAAGTCATACTACTCTTTTCAAAACTACCCAACCTTCTTGATTCCTATGGATTTTGCGCCTGAATTTCCTTGAAGTAAACCTCCCTCTGCTGGCCATTCTCTAGGACAAAACAGGAGCTTCTTAACTTCCATTTCCTCCCTCTTTTGGCTTCTCTGAAAATTCCAAACTCCTTCACCTCTCAGAGTTGATACAGGCGGTAGAAAACAAAAGGCTGCTCTGAGTTTTACTATATTGTTAGGGCACACATTAGACGTGGAATAAAATAAAGTATATCTAAAACCCAGTTATATTTGGATTAAATCTATCCCAATCCATATAAGATTTGAAGGATAACATTTCCCCCAAAGAAAATCAGAGATTTTGATATATGTTATGAAAATCGTATATGGAAATAATCATCTGTATATTTCAGCTGGAGGAAACGGAGGCAAAGGGGAACAGTAGCAATTCTCTTTTTTTAAAATGTCATGTATTTGGAAGCTGGAGCTTAATATCTGAATAGCCATGAGAACCCTGAATAAAAGAAAGTCCAACTTGGCCACTGAACTAAAAGAAAAAAAGAGAAAAAAAGAAAAAAGCTGGCTCTGAGCTCTTAAGTGCTTTGGTGAACCAACCCCAAGTCAGGCTCACCTGTGTTCACAGTGAAACGCCAGAATTGCTGCTAATTCATTCTCCCCAGGCAGGTGAAACCAGGTAAAGACAACCACCCCTGTTTCACACTTCCCTTGAGATAATGGAAAGAATAACACATACCTTCACTAAGCAGATGAACTTCTCTTTGGAGATGAGTTTCCCACCATCTGTGAAAACTGGTCTGACGGTGGTACCATAAAGGCTCCAGGGTGCTTCCTTACCCCTTTAAACAAAGGATGAAAATGATAGGTATGCTCTAGGTACTGCATCCTTCCAGCCTCTTGGCTTCAGGCATCATAAAAAACAAAAGGTACTAGAAAGAGGGTGTTAAAAGAAGATTCAAACTGACCTCTTTAGGGAAAACTGTAATCCTGCCCCAGCGATGTAGTTTAGCAAATGTAATTGAACCGTTTTAACATCTAGTTTCTTAAACGGATTCTTTTTACCAAGAAACAAACTCATGCATAAACTGCAACACATGGCATACTTAATATACATTATTGACACCATATGTTTACTAAAGATTCCTATGGGTAGAGTACTGTCACAGAGAAAATTCTATTAGAAGGTAATCCTTAAATGATTCCTACAAACTTTATTTTAAATAATTACCTGTAAGAGAAAAGAAAATAGATTTTTTGGTAATTTTTTTTTACTTATTTTACACCACTACTTGGTCATTCCTTTCCACTGCTAATCTCCTGCTTTGTAGCCTCTATTTTCCTTTCTTCCACCTGTCAACCTCAGAAACCTTCATATTCCCTTAAGGAATAATCACGCTTTGTGGCGCCTGGGTGGCTCAGTCGTTAAGTGCCTGTCTTTGGCTCAGGTCATGATCCCAGGGTCCTGGGATTGAGCCCCACATCGGGCTCCCTGCTCAGTGGGAAGCCTGCTTCCCCCTTTCCGACTCCCCCTGCTTGTGTTCCTTCTCTCACTGTGTCTCTCTCTCTCTCTGTCAAATAAATAAAATCTTTAAAAAAAAAAAAGGAATAATCACACTTCATTTTCTGATGCTGCCCACCTCCTCTCATCTCATTTGCTGCCTCTCTGCCCTGGATATTTTTAGATTTGAATGGAGAATTTCATTGGGTGAATAGCCATTAGCTCTTTTTTTTTTTTTTTTAAAGATTTTATTTATTTATTTGAGAGAGAGAATGAGATAGAGCGAGAGCATGAGAGGGGGGAGGGTCAGAGGGAGAAGCAGACTCCCTGCTGAGCAGGGAGCCCGATGCGGGACTCGATCCCGGGACTCGATCCCGGGACTCCAGGATCATGACCTGAGCTGAAGGCAGTCGCTTAACCAACTGAGCCACCCAGGCGCCCTAGCCATTAGCTCTTGAAAGTTCATACCGAAGAATAGATGACCTTTTAATTCAGGTGCTCATTTTAATAAAAAGATACCATATCACTCTGGGAAGTTAAAAAAAGTAAACATGTAGATTGTCTTTCATGCCAAAGAACCTACTCTTTGACATCTTTGATTGCAGTGTATTTTTAATTTATTTAATTTTTAAAATCATTATTGTTCCTATTAGTGATGAGGCAGAAAGCTATACATCTCCCCCTTGTGGTTTCTGTTAGTGTTTGCCTCTCAGTGTCCAATTTCTTCTAGCTCCAATCATTCCCAATAAAACACTGCTAAAATGATCTTCCTAAACCACAACTCTGATATCACCCTCCTGCTCAAACTTCCAGTGGCTCACTATCACCTGCAGGATAAAATCCAAACTCCTTGCCATGGTCCACCTGAAATCCCTATATTAAAATTCTCTGCTTTTTGAAATCCTATACATTCTTCAACGCCCAAATTCCTCTTCCCCATTCCCCACCTAGAAGCAGTCTCTCCATTTTGTACTCTTAAACCACAACCTGCCAGTAATTATAGGTATTTACGCCCATCTTATCTCTCACACTCTATTGTGAGTTTCTGGAGAACAGGAAGATGTCTTTTTCATCTTCCTGTTGTCCACACAGTTCCTTGGGTAAAGGCCTCAACAAATGTCTATCGAATTGAATAAAATAGATACAGGTGTTAGTAAAATTAAAAGTCAGCATTAGGTTTTAAAAACAGAGGACACATTTAAAAATGGATCAAGAGAGAGAATTGTATAGACCAGCCTTGTCCAGCAGAAATACAATACAAACTACTTGAGTAATTTAAAATTTTCTAGTAGCCAGATTTTAAAAATAGATGAAATTAACTTTAATAATATATTTTTAGCCTGATTATTGTAACATGTAATCAATATAAAAATTACTGATGAAATATTTTACATTTTACAATTTTTTACATTTTTTTAATCCCGTCTTCTAAATCTAGGGTGTACTGACAATACATCTCGGTTCAAATTTGCCACATGTAAAAGTGCTTTATAGCCACATGTGGCTACTGGCTACTGTATTAATACAAGTCTTAGTCCTGGGTGACTGTTAGCAGTTTTGTTACCACAGATAAGACCTTTCACCGTTTATTTCTTGGTTTCCTCATCTGAAAAGGGGAGGCATTTTTCTTACCATTCTTCTAGGGTTGTAAAGGCGTAAAATTAGAAGCTGAAATGAGGACGCTTTGGGAGGTTGAAAATGTCATACAAGTGGAAGGCATTGTAATTATTCCAAGAATAGAATGAACTTTGAAATAGTTATTAATCTCTTCTTTAAAGAATCTGGATCCCACAGTCTCATATGCTCCCTGATTTCTTCACTGACTTGACTCCAACAGGCAGGGTTAAGGGAGGATACTGATGCTCCTATTGAATATCTCCGTTGGAGTAGCTGGGTATGATGAAGACAGGTTGTTCAGAAACACAAAGACAGATTGTGGATATTCGTATTCAGGTGAATTATATTATGGTGAAAAGTAAGTTGCTTTCAATACGGAGGAAAAGGAAGAGGCAGGGCTCCAATCAAAAGCATTTTCAGCTCCGCAGGATCGACCTGCCATTTTCTATTTGCATAGTGTGTGCATGCCCCGGAGGTGCTTCTGTGACACAGAAACACGTTTCCCACCGCTAATGGGATAAATAATGGTCATTTATTATTAACATTTTAAGTGTTCTTTTTAGGAGTTTTAGGAGATTCTCTGCAGAGCTGTAAGTGCCTCTTCCCCAACACTTCGGCTATTGCTTATTCACCTGCCGAGAGCTGATTTATCACTCTCACTGATATGGAAAGGTATATAAATTATTATAATTTCAGCTTTATGTACGGGGTAAGCTGAGGCAGCGCGAAACAATTCCCTTTCGTGTGTGTTGTGACTCGCCTGTCAGCCTAGACTCAGGAGGGCGCCTATAAGAACTCTGCTCAGTGGGAGCTCCCTTTCGCATTCCCGCCACAGGGTCCACGGTCCCGCCTTCTTCCTCCGTAGGTTTCTGATGTCCCACTCCTCGCCCTGGCGTTGTTGCCTAGGAGACCAGGCCCTGCCCTAACAACAGTGGCTAAGGGGCGGAGACTTCGCGTTGGTTCCCGAGAGCGAATACTCCAGGGTCGAGTAGTTCGGGCGCATGCGGCAACCTTCCCTTTGCTATCGCGAGGTTTCGTCTTCCCGGAAGCACTGGAGGATCGTCCTCGGGAACGGCGTCGGGATGTGTGGGGGCTGTGTGGAGAAGGAGTATCCCAACCGGGTGAGCGAGTGGGCGCCGAGAACTTCTCGCCCCCTTGGCCCGGGGCCAGCCCCTGGGGCTTCTCGTAGCCCTCGGCTGGCCTTCCCTGAGAGGCCGGCCGCGGGCCGACCCAGCCGCTCTGCCCATTCCAGTGACCCCGTAGCTGTATTTAGGCACTTGACGGCGGGGGCGGCCTGTCGCCGTCCGTTCCGCCGGTCCCCACCCTGGCGGCTGACATCAGCCGTCGCCGCGCTTCTCTTGAGCTCCGGGGGCACAACAAAGGAAACCCCACCACCACCACCAATCCAGTCCGACGACAAAGGGACACGCCCCCCCCCCCCCCCCCCCGCCCCGTCTCATTCTCAAGCTTGATTTGGTGAAATTCTTACTGAATTCTAGCGCTGGAAGGGACCTCTGAGGCCATATGTTATAACCCAGTTTTGCAGATGAAACTAATGCCCAGAGAGGGGAAATCACTTGCCCAAGTTCACATTCTCTTAACAGGAGAGCCAAGGCCAGAATTCAGGTTTCCTGGCAGTTACTTTTTGAAAAATCTCGGCTCCTCTCAAGCTCGGGAGGTTGCCGAAGCTTGTTTACTCTCATTCATTCAAGGTATACTTATTGAACATTTATGTGTGTAGCTAGATTACTTTGCTAGGCCAGAAAGGGATACCAAAGAAGAAATAGGCAGCTTTCATTGCCTCCTGCGGAGTATGTGATTAACAAAAAATGAGTAGTACAGTTCATAAATTCTGTTCGAATTCTGAGAAAGGGGAGAGAAATAGCGCTGTTCTCCCAAAAGGAAGGTGAACTTCATTTGGGACTTGAAGGCTCGCTGTGACGAGGGTAGAAAAGAAGGAAAGGCGGAGCCCGAGGCTTGGGGAATAAAACAAGAACAAGAATTCTTGTAATGATTGGAAGGTAGAAAATCTATAGTTGTTTCTGTCTCTTAATATCTTGAGTAATAAGTAGTCTTTGGGGAAGGATATATAACAAGAACACTCATGGTACAACCTCCTTGGAAAAAGGATTAGCATTATCAAATGAAGATATGCATACTGAATGACCCAGCAGTTCCCATTCTAGAGAAATAAATGCATTACATATGTTCCTGGAGACTTGTATAAGAATGCTCAGAACAGCAATTTTTGTAGTTGTACACTGGAAAAGTGTGATACCGTCACAGAATGGAACACCATGAATAAATAATGAAAGTGAGTTAATTAGAGCAGTGGTTCTCAACTAGGTGAGATTTTGCCTCCCAAGGGACACTTGGCGCTATCTGTAGACATTTTTAGTTGTCACCCTGGGGGTACGACTGACATCTAGTAGGTAGAGGCATTATACTATTTATGTTTCATATACTTTATTGTGTTCTATTTCATACTTTTTTAAAAGTGTAAAAAATTTTTATGAATCCAGTAATGAACACTGCACTTTACAGAGACCACACGAGGGAGGTGTTTGTAGTGAAGAGTATTAAAGGGATTAGGTTGGATTCTTAAGAATTGAGCTAATCAAAAGACTTAAAAAGTTGTATTAAGTTTAGATTCTACACTTCAGGCATTGGGCATCCATCAAGAAAATCAAATAGGGAAATAATTCTGAAATCTGTTATTTAGGAGAATGAATCTTATGACTGTATATTTAGGTTATGGTAGGGGGGAAATGTAAAAGGGAGAGCCCTACGGTATTTGGGGAGCCATGGCAACAGTAGTGTAGGCATGAGATAATGAAGACCTCATCTCAAGGAAAGAATTACTAGAACTGAGCCAATTTAATGGAGGGAGGAGCTATAGATGACCTTAGGGTTTTCAATCTAGGCAATTGGGAAATTGGAAGTATCATTACAGAAATTGGAGGCATATGGGAGAGAGAACAAAGATTGGGGTGCACATGGTCAAATTGTTTTTATCATGTTTCATCCAAGATTGAGAATGTAACATCCAAGGAGTCAAGTGAAAATACAAGATTGCAGTTGCGGTGTGAAATTCAAACAGATGAGTTAGAAAAGGATTGAGGTGATTGGGAAACCAGAAAAGTACCTTTCATTGGCACTTCTTTCTGACTTTATTCTGTTCCAAAATAATTAAAGGGCTGTCATTCCGGAATTTCAGAAGGCAGATTTAGAAATCATTAGTGGGTGGATGTTATTGGGTTGGAGGCTTTGAATCAGAACAAAGAACTTTCTAACAGATTTTCAAAAGCAGAATGGGCAACCCTTGGAGAAATTGAACTCTCTTCCCGTTGTTCAGTAGAGACTGATCATTTGAAATCTGAAAGGTCCTTCCAACTCTGGGAGTTTTCAAAGTCGTGTGATATTTCTGAGGGCAGTAAGAACAGAAGCCACTTTGAGCTTAGCAAAGGAAAGGACAGTGAGATGATGGTAGCAGGTATAGTGTACTCATCCAAAAAATTGTCAGAAAAATAATGGATTAGCATATCAAGAAGTTCTAAGTGCGGAATGAGTAGGTAATAAATAATTACCTTTGGTTTCATAAAATTTTCTGGAGATTTGTGGTAGATATTTTTCACAGATGAGGAATACTAGTCTTAGAAGACAAACACAAATAGTGGAAGAAAAAGTTTGATGAATTGGACTTAACAAGAATCAAAACTATCTGCTCTTCAAAAGACATTATTTAAAAAATGGCACACCAATAATAGGGAGAAGATATTTGTAATACAAATCTGACAGAGGATTTGTATCTAAGATACATAAAGAACTCTTCCAACTCAATGACTCTTACAACTAGATAAGATAAACAACCTAAGTTTCAAAAAATGGGCAAAAGACTTGACTAGACACTCCACAAAAGAAGGTACACGTGTAGGCACCATGAAAAGATGCTTAACGTTATTAGTCATGAGGGAAATACAAATTAAAAACTACTGTGAGATACCACGTGATTAAGATAGCTAAAATAAGAAAAGACATGGTACCTCAGGTGGGTGAGGATGTGGAGCAACTGGAACTCACACAGTGCTGGTGGACTAGAAAATGGAAAACTAAGCAGTTACAAAGTTTGTATGTACCATATTTTTACCATCTGATTCAGCAGTTCCACTTCTAGGTGTTTACTGAAGAGAAAGGTATATGTTTACACTGAATCTTCGTAGCTGCTTTATTCATAATAGCCCCAAGCTGAAAACGACCCAAAAGTCTATCAACCTGAATTCATGCTGTTCGGCAATGAAAAGCAATGAGCTACCAGTACAACAACATAGATGATTAATATGGACAGAACAAAAGAAACTGGTTGCAGAAGAGTATACTGCATGGTTCTATTTATATAAAATTTTATAGGAATCGGATCAAGGGGTGCCTAAGGTGAGATAGGGGTTGGGTTCAGACTGCAAAGTCTGAAGGATCTCCTAGGAAGACAAATTTTTATATCTAGGTTGGGATAGTGGTTACACTGATACATATATACCTAAAAAAAGTCATTCACCTATACCCTTACAGTGTGTGGATTTTATTATATAGGAGCTACATTTCCGTGATGTTTATTTTTAAGAAAATCAAAGAAAAGCACCTGTTCTTAGTAGCTGGAAATTTATACTTTAACCTTAAGGCCTTTTTTCCCCTTCAGTAGTTAAGTTGATGTGCTTGTGATTTAGTATCTCCCAACTATATAGTTAGATTGATTTCTTCGCTTCTACCCACCCCCGCCCCTACAGAGTTAATCTCTTCCTTCATATATAGCATCAAGGAGCCACTCAAAAGGGAGAGGTTAACTGTGGCGCTGGGAATCCAGGAAGACTTCACTGTGGCATCACTTAAAGCTGGTCTTCCTGATAGTTCATAAGCTCCTCGGAGGAGGAAAGAGGTGACTCATCCTCTAATCCTTCACAGTGCTTTTGCACAGTATCAGGCACATAGCTGCATTGGAGAAATGTTGATTGATTTTTAGTCACATCAACTGTTAAAAATACTCTATGTATTGGTCAGAAATGAGGTTGAATTAGATTATTTATAAAATGGTTTTCTGAACAATTATTAGTAAGCCTTTGCAAAGACCTCCCTTGAGCTAGGAGCATAAGTTGTTTACAGTTTCTTAGTGATGAAGCAAATGCCTTTCTCTTTTGAATGCCATGGTGTCAGTCTGATGAATTGCAGAGCTTATCTTCTTTGCCTGAATCACACATACCCTTGAGGACTGGCATCTGTAGAGATGAGAGTTTATTCTTGTTTGCTTATTTTGTGTTATTTTTTAAGGCATCAGAAAATGCTATTTCAACAATCAACTGAGCATCACATTGTAAAAGATCATTTTTATCATTAGTTCAGTATTTCCATTTTGATTGAATTTTTATTCTAGTTTTGTGCTGTGCCTCATTTAATATTGTTGGCTATTAGATTTTTCTAATTTTTCCTTTTCACATTTTATATTATTAAAGCTTCATTAGGTTTCTAAATATCCACTTGCATTTAGTCCTCTCAAACACAGTTGCAGTCCTCAGAGACTTACAGCTTAACACTGCTTCAGTTTTGTTTGCCATAAATAGCCTTCTAGAGGAAAGCTAGTAATTTCAAAAATTACTTGGTACAGACTTCAAGCAAGTAAATTCTGGCCATGTTTTTTTGCCTTTAGAAAATTTTAGTCTATTAATTATTTTCACTAAGGGTTTTGAAATAGAAGAAAATTAAATTCCTATTTTTAATATTTTAGGGTAACATCTGCCTGGAGAATGGATCTTTCTTGCTGAACTTTACAGGCTGTGCAGTGTGCAGTAAGCGGGATTTTATGCTGATCACAAATAAATCTTTGAAAGAGGAAGATGGAGAAGAAATAGTTACCTACGATCGTAAGTAGACTTTATTTTCGTGCAAGTCTGGGAGCAGATACCAGCTTTTGAAAGCTAGTAGTTTGTACCTCCTGATATGTTGTGTTTTATAAGGCCTGTTTCAATATTGTATTGCAACAGAGTTGCTAGTTTGGTTTTTAAGAGGAAAATAAAGATGATGCTAGCGTCATCAGACTGCATAAGTGACTTTTGTAGATAACTGAAGCTAATGATTCAGGTAGCATTTTTTGTTTGTTTATTTTAAAAGTCTTTATGCCTTCTGAAACAAGAGAGACTTTTTTTTTTAACCTTTTAGGATCGTTCGTGTTAGTTTTCTTTTTTTACTATAGTCTAATACAGTGATGTTCTCCAACAGCTCCTGAAGTGTTTAGGGCTGTTTGCTGCCATACTAAATGACCCTGGGATGTTATGGTTTTTTAAATCTTGTTTCTGCTCTCATAACCTTTTTTGTCTCCTATCTCATCATCCGTCTGTTGTTTCTTTTGCTGTGCTACCTTCATTTGCTGCTCCTCATCCTCAATACTGGGGAACCAAATAAACTATGTATAATAAAAATGAATCAGCTCTGAGGTTGGCACTCTAAGAATTTCTGTGAGTAAATTAAGTATATGTACATTTTAGTCCCCAGGTGTGACAAGAAATCAAACTGTTCACATCCCCTTTTTGCCTGTCTCCTGGTTTGAGTATGTTGGTATGTTCTGAAATATGAGGAATAAATGTGCAAATAATGATATTTTTTAAAAGGAATATGAAAGATACTAAGCCTTTAGAATTGAGTCAGACTATTGAAAATGTTCTAACGTAGAATAATCCTTTTTCTTTATTTTAGGCATAACCCTTTAAACTCTATTTTAAAGAGGTAGTAGGACATAGCGGTTAAGAGCAAGAGCTCTGGAGCCAGAATGCATGGGTTTGAATTCTGTTTCCAACACTTCCTACCTCAGTAGTCTTGCTAATTACTTAAAGGTGTGTGGCTTTGTTTCTTCACCTTAAAAAGGTGGTAACAATAGTATCTACCTCTTTGGGTTTTGAGAATAAGTAAACAGACAAAAAGTATTTAAAAGCGTATCTGGCACACAGTAAGCACTCAATAAATCATAGTTATTATGTGTTTTTACTATAGTCTTTTGTTACTATTAAATTCACTTTAATGTTTAGCATTGGCTTTTTATTTATAATTGTTTTTAGTAGCACAGTTTCTATAAGTCCTGAGAATGAGAATTAATATATGCCTGTTAAATCTCTGAGTTGAGGCCCTTCATTATGTAGCGTTGCTATGTGATAGATTTTGGATTTCTTATCAAGGTAGATATTATAATGGGTTTCCCGCTGCTGTGTTAAATATATCAGTTAAGATTCTTTTAAAGCAATACCATGCTGAAAATAGAAATTTTACTGTCTTAAGACACCTTCCAAGACTTAATAATTTAAGTCTCTCTGTGTTTCGGCAGATCTGTGTAAGAATTGTCATCACGTAATAGCCAGGCATGAGTACACATTCAGTATCATGGATGAATTTCAGGTAAATGTATAAATGTGGTATGTTATTGTGGGGGAGGGGGAATAATAAAAATACTTTCTCAAATCTTATTTAATTATTATTAAAATCTTAATTATTATTAAAACATATAGTTTTAATAAATGAAGTACTAGTAAATAATAAAGGAGACCATCCTTCTCTTCTACTTGTGTACGTTAAGAGAGACATTTTAGACGTGAGTATATCTGTTCAAACCTGTCTCCATAAGAGTCACAAGTCAAGATGCATACCTTACAAATGATATCTTAGGCCTGTCCTGTTTGTTTATGAAGAACAGCACATTGTGGGTTCTTATGAGGTTACAGTTGTGCCTGTTTTTTCCCTGTCCAGTTATGTAATTGCACAGTTGTTGGTTTTATAAGTGTTGACCTGCCCACTGCCCCCATACTTGCTGAGCATGGAAATTCTGATTAAGGAGGTTATCTTTGTCTTCCCCTGTAGACATGTAGACTCGAGCTACTCTGTAGTCTCAGTTGTGGTAAGACATTTTAATATAATTCATTAAGTAAAATGACAGGTTGGATGTATCAAGGTTGGAGGAAAGAAGCTGGACCACCATAAGGGTAGAGAGTAAGTATTATAAGGATGAGGCCTTGTACAATCGTGAGAGCACATGAAGAATTGTACAGAAGGCTACTGTATGCCTCAGTTGTTGAAGATTCACAGATCTGATGGTCGGGAAGAAAAGCTGGACAGTGGGGCAGAGCCAAGGGTAAACTGGAAACCATAAGGACACACTGGAACCTGTGTCTGTCCCTTACTGCCTCCATTTTCAAGCTTTCAGATTGAGTTACTTACTTAGAGTGAACTGTGTATTCATCTATAGGATATAAATATCATGTTAGAGCTTTTAACAGACAGGGGAATTTTTTTAAGTCCTTCAAATTTGGGTAGGATTTTAATGAGAAAAAAATAATAATCTTCCATAACAGGATCTTACAGTGTAACCACTCTCATTCATTCATATTTTAGTGTAGAAGAAAGCACTTATTCACCTGTCAGAATCTGGTCTGATATGTTGTGATTAATCTGTACAACATCTTGACCACATCTTAGCATCCAAAAATTATGCCTCGAAAAATGTTTATATGTTATGTGTAACTTAGGGCAAAAATCAAGATCTCAGTGAATGAGTAGTGGCCAAATAGGGGAAGGAGCATATCATGGACTTAAAGGAGCAGCTCTGTCCTTCCATGAGAGGAAAGGGAGGCTTAGAGCCATTTTGCAGAAGCTCCTGAAGCCGCCATGAGTTTTTCAGAGCCCTAAATGGGTACTAAGGTTGCTGTAATGAAGCCATTGTCTCTTACTGCTGGGTGAGCCAAGTCTAGCTGGTTTTCCTTTATGACTGAACACAGCCATTTTCACAGCTGCCCCAGAAATGACTCTGGGGTAGGAAGAAGATGATAAAGGAAGATGGCTTGTATTCACGATGCCTAGTCAGTGAAATTCTCTTGGGAAAAAACCCAACTCTTAAACCGGGCTCTACACTTCATCTTCTCTCTCAACATCTGCTTCCCTCCACCTGTATTCTATATCCCTCCATCAGATTCATTTCCTGAAAGCGATGCTTTAGACCACTGCTTTGGCCTTTCCATAGCTCATTTTAGCTACAGTGTAATATCTGACCTGCTCATTGCGGGGTTATCATGGGGCTGGCCACCTTCCCTTTCTCTTCTTTCCCACTAGTCTCTTTGGCTCACCACACATAGCATTGTCCAACCTCAGACTCTTCTCTCCATCCCGGTAGAGAGGAAGATTTTTGTTCCTTCCTCTCTAAGGCTACCCTTTCTGTATTTCCTCACCAATCTCCTCTCTACCCAGCATCTTCTTTGTCTCCCTGGGATTTAAAATATTTCTTACAGTAAATATACTCGAGTCTTCTTTTGTTAAAAAATAAGTTAAAAATCCTTTCATTTCACTCAGTTACCTCTGTGATTCATCTTCTAATCATCTCTGTCCTTCTTTTGCTTCTTTACTTGAATAGGTCTTTACCCTGTTCTCCTCATTTCCCTGTGCTGCTCTTAACCACCTGCAAACTGCTTTTCATTTTCACTTTACTAAAACTATTCTCTCAGAGGTCTCCTATAATGTAACTGAATGCTATGACCTTGCCTCAGTTCTTAGCTCTTTTAACATCTCTCCTGGGTCTGGTTGTGTCAACCATTGTGGTTTTTGAAGGATTTCTTCCCTTGAGGTCCATAGTGCCAGCCTTTTTTCTTTCTTTTTAAGTCATTTTGAGTCCTCTTTTGCCTTCTCCCTGGTTTCCTTTACTATTGTTCCCTAACTGATTTTCCCCTGAGCTTTGGTCTCTAGTCTGGAGCCTTCTCTTTACTTTCTCAAATAGTGAGCACACACACACTCAGGCTCACTTGAAACCTATCAGCTGTCTCCCAGGTGTATTTCTTTAACACTAACAGTCTGCCTGCCCTCCTTTCTTCCTTTGTTTCTCTTGCCTTTTTTGGCCTTGCTGCCACACCTCATGGCAAGGACCATACCCACTCAAACCTGAATTACTGCAGCAGTCCCCAAACTCTAGTTCTACTCACTGCTGTCAAATTAATCTTGCTCAAATATATCATACTGCACTCTCGCTACTCCCTATAGGATATGCTTGCTCTTTCCCTATCCCTGTCCTTATTCGTGCTTTTTCCCTGACTTGACTAGTTCCTTTCTCTACCTTCAAGTCAACTAAATCTTACCTCTTTGAAGCAGAACTTAAATTCTATCTCCTCCTTGCCCCCCCCCTTTTTTAAGATTTTATTTATTTGACAAAGAGACAGCTAGAGAGGGAACACAAGCAGGGGGCGTGGGAGAGGGAGAAGCAGGCTTCCTGCGGAGCAGGGAGCCCGATGTGGGGCTTGATCCCAGGACCCTGGGATCATGACCTGAGCCGAAGGCAGATGCTTAACGACTGAGCCACCCAGGCACCCCTCCTCCTTGCTCTTGATAGTCCAGCCCATTCTTGTACCTACAGTGGCCTCTGACTCATGTGAATAGCCGCTTGGGAACTTCCTTCTCAACTTGAGGGACACAAGAACTCTTTGTTCTCAGCTTGGACAGCCTACTTCCTCGTCCCCACCCTACCCCAGCACCTTTTTCACTTTAGCAGTAGTTCAGGTTCAAGGTGGGATTCCCCACATTGCTAATGTTTTGTTTTAAATGTCTTATGGGCAAAAGTAGGCAGAACAGTGTTTTAACCTCCACCACCCAGCTTCAGTTTGCTTTATTTTGTATCTCACTATTCCCACATCTCCCTACAGGATTGTTTTGAGTCAAATCCCAAATATATCACTCACTACTTCTGTAAATATTTCAGTACACATCTCTAAAAGATAAGAATTCTGTTTTAAAAATAACCACAATATCGGGGCACCTGGGTGGCTCAGTCGTTAAGCGTCTGCCTTCGGCTCAGGTCATGATCCCAGGGTCCTGGGATCGAGCCTCGCATCGGGCTCCCTGCTCCGCGGGAAGCCTGCTTCTCCCTCTCCCGCTCCCCCTGCTTGTGTTCCCTCTCTCGCTGTGTCTCTCTCTGTCAAATAAATAAAATCTTTAAAAAAATTAAAAAAAATAACCACAATATCATTGTTAAAGTGAGATTTTCTGATGGCACAAGTGGGGGGGGGAGATAGAAGTACAGAGTTTAAACAGAAAATACATTATAAATGATTATAGATATCCTTTATTTTTTATATCACCCCAAAAGCCACTGAAAGGACTATGTGTTTGCCTCAGGAAACCAAAGGGGAACTGTGAGACTGCCTTCTGTTCCTCTGTGGACTAGGGAAGGAGAGGACTTGGGGTCAGAATTAATAGGTAGTAATAGAAGAAAAGGGCCGTGGGCCCCTCAGAATAAAGCAGAGGATCTGGTCTTCCCAAAGGTGATCCCACACACTCCACCTTTCCTTCCAAATCTCTATCCCTGGGCTTTGCCCAGGTGGAGCCTTTGAGGTTTTCCATGAATGATGGCGGGGGGGGAGGGGAATTCTTTTTTTTAAATTTATTTTATTTATTTATTTATTTGACAGAGAGAGACACAGTGAGAGAGGGAACACAAGCAGGGGGAGTGGGAGAGGGAGAAGCAGGCTTCCCGCGGAGCAGGGAGCCCGATGCGGGGCTCGATCCCAGGACCCTGGGATCATGACCTGAGCCGAAGGCAGACACTTAATGACTGAGCTACCCAGGCGCCCTGGGGGGGAGTTCTTACTGTCCCAACTTGGCCAGTTTTGATAAAAGGTGTCCTGATCCTGGCAGCACAGGGGGATGTGTTCCTGACCTTCCAAGTTAGAATTCTAGACTTGTTTTCCCACAGAAACACTATGATTTATGGTTAGATTCTATAGTACTTATACAGTATGAGTTTAAAAGACTCCCTGGAATTTCCTGGGGAAAGCCTAACTGCTGTGTACAGCATTGTTTCTATGGGAGACTGCTTTTGAATTACAAATAATTGACCTACAGTGAAGTTTGGATTCCAGACCAACTATAAATTAAAGATTTCAAGTGTAATCAGTCTTACTTATTTAAAAACCTTTCCAGATTATACCACGTGTTAGGTTTTTTCTTACTCTCAAGTTAGACTGTAAATTTTGCAAGGTCAGACCTTGTCCTTGCCTTCTCTCATGTCTGCCAGTGCCCCTGGCACATTGCAGAGCATTTAGGCACTTAATAAAAACTTGTCGATGGATAGATTGGGTGAAAACTCAGAAGTTTGTCTAGCTTCACACATTTTCCCGTTTTGACTTTATTATTGTTCTTCATTTCCAGTGAGAGGTTCACATCCTACTAGTAATGTCTGGCAGGTGAAAGCAAAAGTATTTGAGAGCAGTAAAAGACCTTGTACAGGTCTTTTAGAGGGTGGATTTTTATTTCATTGTTTTAGAAAGATTTCTTTATTTTGGGGGGGTGGGGCAGAGGGAGAGAATCTTCAAGCAGATTCCCTGCTGAGTGCAGACCCTGTCATGGGGCTCGATCTCATGACCCTGAGACCATGACCTGAGCCGAAACCAAGAGTTGGACACTCAACTGATTGAGTCACCCAGGCGCCCCTATTTCATTTTTTAATTTATGAGACCTGTATTTGTCCTCTGAGCTTTAGCCCCTATTTATCTCTATTGTGTGTGTGGAGTAGACCTTGAAATTAAGTGTGGTCTTTAAGAAACAATCTTTCTCTTGCCACAACTAAGCTCCCCTGCTGAACTCACTCTAGGAAACAGAAGTGCACTTGTCTGGGTTCTGAGTCTCTGAACCGTAGTCATTGTTTATCTCTGTGACCATTTGTCTAGTGACTATCCAGACTCATGAAACACAAACTGCCTTGACTGACCAATTCCCAGACAGCTAACAATCTCAGTTTAAAGTGTGGAAGTACTAACAGATTTAGCATTAAGTTTGTTTTCTTAAAGAAGATAAAGTTTTTAAGCAAAAGCTTGAAAGGAAATATGTGTGTATAGTTTATGACCCATATTAAATATTCTAGAAGGGGATAACTGTAAAAACAGGACTTTGCCATAGGAGTTTTCCCTAAAACAAAATCTCTTCCATCACCAGCCTGGACATTTTTAAAAATTTTAATTCCAGTATCATTAACATGCAGTGTTATAGTAGTTTCAGGTGTACAAGATAGTGACTCAACCCTTCCATACAACACCCGGTGCTCATCAGAACAAGTGCACTCATTAATCCCCTATCCCTATTTTCCCCATCCCCCTTTCCCCCACCCACCTCCCCTCTGGTAGCCATCAGTTTCTTCTCTGTAGTTAAGAGTCTGTTTCTTGGTTTGTGTCTCTCTTTTCCTTTGCTCATTTGTTTTGTTTCTTAAATTCCACATATGAGTGAAATCGTATGGTATTTGTCTTTCTTTGACTGACTTCACTTAGCATGATATTCTCTAGGTCCATCCATGTCATTGCAGATGACAAGATTTCTTTCTTTTTTTTTTTTTTTATCAGCCTGGACATTTGTTAAGCCCAAGAAGCATAAACTCCTGAAATAGATCAAATCCAGACAGCTAGCTATCTAAATATGAGGCATGACATACAAGTAGATTTAACTTAATTGTTTATTTTCCTGGAGTAGATAAAAATAGTTGTTTTAGTTTGGGATCTTTCTTTCATTTTAAAAAATCATTTCTGTTGCTTAGTAGTCTTAAATAATCTAGAAAGGAGCAACTCTAGAATAGGAATTTGTCCTTAGGGACCCACACTCAAATTGCTTCACTACTTTATTTTATTTTTTTAAAAAAACTATTTATTTGACAGAGAGAGTGCATAAGCAGGGAGAGAGGCAGAGGGAGAGGGAGAAGCAGACTCCCCACTGACCAAGAAGCCCGACACGGGGCTCAACCCCAGGACCCTGGGATCATGACCTGAGCCGAAAGCAGACACTTAACCAACTGAGCCACCCAGGTGCCCCATATTTTATTAAGATTTTATTTATTTGTGTGAGACAGAGAGCTAGCACAAGCAGGGGGAGTGGGAGAGGGAGAAGCAGGCTCCCTATTGAGCAGGGAGCCCGGTGCGGGGCTCGATCCCAGGACCCTGGGATCATGACCTGAGCCAAAGGCAGATGCTTAATTGACTGAGCCACCCAGGTGCCCCACTTCACTACTTTAAATAGCAGCACTAGGGGCACCTGGGCGGCTGTCAGTTGAGCATCTGGCTCTTGGTTTTGGCTCAGATCATGATCTCAGGGTGGTGAGATCGAGCACACCCCACCCCACCCCAACCCATGGGGCTCCATGCTGAGTGTGGAGCCTGCTTAAGATTTTCCCTCTCTCTATATATAATGGACTATTATGCAGCCATCAAAAGGAATGAGAGAGATCTTGCCATTTGCAATGACGTGGATGGAACTGGAGGGTGTTATGCTGAGCGAAATAAGTCAATCAGAGAAAGAGATGTATCATATGACCTCACTGATATGAGGAATTCTTAATCTCAGGAAACAAACAGGGTTGCTGGAGTGGTGGGGGATGGGAGGGATGGGATGGCTGGGTGATAGACATAGGGGAAGGTATATGCTATGGTGAGCACTGTGAATTGTGCAAGACTGTTGAATCACAGATCTATACCTCTGAAACAAATAATACAATATATGTTAAAAAAAAGAAGAAGAAGAAGATAGCAGGAGGGGAAGAATGAAGGGGGGACTAATCGGAGGGGGAGATGAACCATGAGAGACGATGGACTCTGAAAAATAAACTGAGGGTTCTAGAGGGGAGGGGGGTGGGAGGATGGGTTAGCCTGGTGGTGGGTATTAAAGAGGGCACGTTCTGCATGGAGCACTGGGTGTTATACACAAACAATGAATCATGGACTACTACATCAAAAACTAATGATGTAATGTATGGTGATTAACATAACAATAAAAAAATTTTCCTCTCCCAGCGCGCCTGGGTGGCTCAGTTGGTTAAGCAACTGCCTTTGGCTCAGATCATGATCCCGGAGTCCCAGGTGGAGTCCTGCATTGGGCTTCCTGCTCAGCAGGGAGTCTGCTTTTCCCTCTAACCCTACCCCCTCTTGTGCTCTCGCTCTCTCAAATAAATAAAATAGAATCTTAAAAAAAAAAAAGATTTTTCCTCTCCCTCTGCCCCCCCACCTCCCCATTAATGTGCACATGCACACCCTCTCTCAAATAATTAATAGCAGCACTAATCAAGCCCAGTATGTGTTTGGATTTTTTTTTTTTTTTTTAAGAGAAGGAAGGTGGGAAGGGGCAGAGGGAGAGAGAGAATCCTAAGCAGGCTCCACGCCAAGCATTGTACCTGATGTGGGGCTCCATCTCACGACCCCAAGGTCATGACCTGAGCCGAAATCAAGAGTTGGACCCTTAACTGACCGAGCCACCCAGGTTCCCCTAGCCCAATATGTGTTTTAAGTCCATGTTATAACATTTATATGTATATAACATTTAAGTCCAACATGCATTTCCAAGATGACATTCTTGTGTACATAGTAAATAGAACATCAGCATGTATTCAGTTTACATGAACAAAAGACTCCAGGATACACAGAATAAACCTAAGACATCCCTGATAGGTGTTGAAGAAATGGATCTAATGTGCAGAAGGAATGTCCGTTCCAATTTGTAGAGAATAGCTTTACCAGAGTAAGTTATGAAGTGTCTTTCTCCCTATTCCTCAATGTAATTATTCACTTTATCTTATTCTAGGAGTACACCATGCTGTGTCTGTTATGTGGCAAAGCTGAAGACTCTATCAGTATTCTCCCTGATGACCCTCGACAAATGACTCTGTTGTTCTAGGATCCTTCTGCAGTTCTGTAGTAACTATGTTGTATTGGTTCACAATACAGCATGCCTCATGGCTTGTCTTACTTTGTTTATAATGGAAATTATTTTGCGTATTTTTTTCTGCTTAGACTTAACTATCCTTTGAAAGAAAACGTAATTAGGGGATTGTATTCTTCTGCTGAGCTCTTCTGCTAAAGTTCCCAGTTCACATCAGAATGAAGAATCTCTATTAGAAGTTACGTGGCTAGAAAATAAAACTAGAATGGGAGCATACCTAATGCCCAGGTCTTAGTTCCAATAAAAGGAACCAGGGCTCCTTGGAGAAATGATTGATTCTAGGACTGGGGCAGTAAATACACAAGATGAGCTTGGAGCATTTTGTGCCACAAGGAAAGTGCCAAAAAAAAAAAAAAAAACCCAAAAAACCAAACCAAACCAAAACAAAAAACAAACCCATAAAACACAATGATTGGGAGTATGTCAAAGGGACAAAAGAGCCGACTGAAGGAGCTCCCAGTGACTGAAGCTGGAATGGTTTCAGCAACAAAATAAAGTAGTATTGAATTATAACCCAAACAGTAAATATTCATGCGTCATTACTGATATAAATAAATGATTGAAAAAATAAATACAAAGATTGGAAGAATAGACATGCTGAAGAATTTCAAATAATATATGTAGATACTTCCCACTCCTTAAGGGTGGTTTATGCATAGCAGCTTCCTTCCAAAGAGTAGAGTGTGCCAAGGGAGAAAAGGGCCTTTACAGTGGAAAAACCTGACAAACACTAGCTCAACCAGATGACCAAGATTAACATCCTCAATGATAACCCTATCGATAATAGCATGTACCCTTGATATGATGTGATGAAAGGGTACTTTACCTTTGTGGTTTTCCTCCCCCAAACCCATAACCCCAGTCTAATCATGAGAAAAACATCAGAGAAATCCCATTTGAGGTCCAGCTTACAAAATAACTGACAAGTACTCCTCAAAATTGTCAAGGCCATAAATACAAGTCTGGGAAACTCACACAGCCAAAAAGAGTGTAAAGAGACGTGACAACTAAATGTAACGAAGTGTCCTAGGACAGAAAAAGGACATTGGGTTAAAACTAGCAAAATCTGAGTAAAGTGTGGGCTTTAATCAATATATGTAAATAGGATGATTTCAACTGCTCCAAAGAAATCTTAGACTATCTCACCTTGTATAGTTGAAAGAACACTGGCTTGGGTATCGGAAACCCTGGCATTTAGTTCTCTCTGCCACTTGGTAGCAGTATAACCATCAAGCAAAGCATAACTCTCGTCTTTATTGTCCCATTTCTTTTAGATTGGGCTAATAAAAATTTACTGTATTGTTAGAAGATCCAAATGAATAATGAATGTAAAATGCTTTAGAAAGCATATAAAGTACTGTATGCAATGAGATGGCTTTGGTTAGTTCTTCTAAGACCAAAACTTAAAGGGTCAGACATTAGATACAAAATTGTTTCCTCTTCATATCTAAGAAATTTGGAAATTCTAAACTAAAGCTTTGCTTGTAAGGGAAAAAAGTGAGTAAAATGTCCATCGTTGATACAGGGAAATTTTGTTATATAACAGGAATAATAATAATGCTGAGGTTTGGGGCGCCTGGGTGGCTCAGTCGTTAAGCGTCTGCCTTCCACACGGGTCATGATCCCAGGGTCCTGGGATCGAGCCCCGCATCGGGCTCCCTGCTCAGCGGGAAGCCTGCTTCTCCCTCTCCCTCTCCCCCTGCTTGTGTTCCCTCTTTGCTGTCTCTCTCTCTGTCAAATAAATAAATTAAAAAAAAAATAATGCTGAGGTTTATTGAGTACTTACTATGTGCCCAGGCCTTTTTAAACGCTTACTTTATCCTCATTAACAACTCCAGGAAGTAGGTACTATTGTTATCCCAATTTTGGAGCCAAAGAAACTAAAGCACAAAGAAGTTAAGGAACTTAAGGTCACACAACTAGTACGGTGACTTCATCTCAACACTGTTGTTTACGACATACGAAGTATAAGGGTCTGGCAAGGTGAGGAGGAAGTTGAGAATGTCAGCGACAACACTCTGAGGAATCTAGGCATGTCAGACCAAGATTTGTTATTCAGAAAAGTTAAGTCATCTGCTCCTTAGGGATCAGTTGTGTTATTCCTGGAAAATGTTTTCCACTTTTCTGCAAATCTATATCTGACCTGCTGAGGAAATCGTTTGGTGAAATGGATCCAGAAAGCAGAGAAAATGCTTCATTACTTTAAATAGCAGCACTAAGCCCATTATAGCCTCTGAATGGTCCCTTCTTGGAGTTTGCTAATGCTTCCAACTTAGTCATTTGGAGCTCAAGAGTATGATTTATAAGCCCCAACAGATATCTTCGTCTATTATAGACTGTATAATTATCTGTCTGTTTTGGACTATATATTACAAAACTTGAAACCTAAGATCCTATCCACATTTGTCATTATTAAACCAACTTTATGCTGTGTTTTGTGACACTTTATTTTCTAGAATTCTTCTATGGATCTAATCAAATAAAGACCTCTTGAACCCAGTTCTACTGAATCCAAATTTTTCTGTTCAAATAAAGGGGAGCCAGGCAAAAATATCAGTTTACTTTCCTTCCTGAGATACAAAAAAGAAAAGGAATCATCTATAGATGTAATTGGGAAAGTGGGCTTGTCCTGGCACCTCGTTCTTTGTCTACTTGCTCCATGATGTATAGATCCGGAGTCTGCATACTTAGGCTTTTGGAGTTAAAGCTCAGCATGTTTGTTTTGTTGTTTTAGCTGGCCCAGTCTTTCTCAAATGGTCTTGGCTTCTCCCAGTACTAATTAATTGATATATGATATATTGTGGGCACAACCAGATATGGTTCGTTACTTACAAGGAATTACTAAGAAGTGTATGTTCGCTGCTCTTTATCAAGAATTCTTTGATTCTTTTTTTTTGTGTGAGCAAGGTTAAGTTACTTCACTGAATTTGAGGCTCTCCATTTTAGGTTGTGTGTTTCTTGACTGTAGTACAGTCTATTTTGAGGTACAGTATGGTTTGGATAGAAGGGAAACCAAGAGACCTAGGTCTGAAATGAGCTTTGCCACCTGCTCGTGTTGGGACATTGAGCAGGTAACTTATATGCACCTCGGCTCTTCAGTGGAAAAATAGAAATAATCATGCTTCCCGCACAGAGTTTTTAAATCAAATGATGTAACGTAAGTGAAAATGTTTTTAAGTTGTGCAGTGCTGTGTACAGGCAGCTATCGGTGGTCTTTCTGAAGGAACTCGGAGGTAGAGGGAAATCCTGTTGTGTTGTACTTAAAGAGTTCAGGCTTCGGGGCGCCTGGCTGGCTCAGTCGGTTAAGCGTCTGACTCTTGATTGCAGCTCGCATCGTGATCTCAGGGTTGTGGGATCGAGCCCCATGTTGGGCTCTGTGCTTAGTGGGGCATCTGCTGGAGATTCTCTCCCTCTCCCTCTGCCTTACCCCCCCCCCCCAAATAAATAAATAAGTCTTAAAAAAAAAAAGAGTACAGGCTTTATAGTCGACTGACCTGGGTTTAACTTTCAACTCTGCTACTTGGAGCCCTTTGTCCTTGGCACATGTCTTGTTCACTTACCTTTAAACAGAGGGAAAAATTCTTCATAGGGTCAGTATGAGAATTAAGTAACCTAATATATATAAAGTACTTATGCAGTGGGTGAGTGTAGTAAATAATAAATGATAGTTTGGATGACAGTTGTGATGGTGATTATAAGAAATCAGATTTGAAATCAATTAGATTTTGGCTCAGTGCTTCTGAAACTAAGGAGGTATAGCATGGGAACATAGTCATAGAAATAATAAATTTCAGTCTGTGTACCTTGGTTCCCTAAAATCATTTACCTCAAGCTTTATTATTTTTTTTTAAAGATTTTATTTATCTGATAGAGACAGTTTTTTTTTTTTAAGATTTTATTTATTTGACAGAGAGAGACACAGCGAGAGAGGGAACACAAGCGGGGGGAGTGGGAGAGGGAGAAGCAGGCTTTCCGCCAAGCAGAGAGCCCGATGTGGGGCTCGATCCCAGGACCCTGGGACCATGACCTGAGCCGAAGGCAGACGCTTAACCACTGAGCCACCCAGGCGCCCCTATCTGATAGAGACAGTGAGAGAGGGAACACAAGCAGGGGGAGTGGGAGAGGGAGAAGCAGGCTCCCCGCTGAGCAGGGAGCCCAATGTGGGGCTCAGTGCGGGGCTCGATCCCAGGACCCTGGGACCATGACCTGAGCTGAAGGCAGATGCTTGACGACTGAGCCACTCAGGCGCCCCAACCCCAAGCTTTATTTTTTGTTAGAGCCCTCAGAGAAGTGATTGTCTCTGTCCCTCCTCTAAATCGAGTGGCATTATCTCAGCTCTCTGGAAAAGCTTGTTGATGAGACACCTTCCTACTTCCTGAGTGCCCCTAGGGAAGTTTGATTAAAAGATTGAAAGTGGGTGATTATATTAAGCTTTGCCAAGTCTGTTTATGACCATAAGCTGATACTTCTGAGGATGTAAAGGGAGACAAACGAGATGAAGAATAAAGGAAACACTTCTCACTTCTCTTCATTTTAACAACAGCACAACCAAAGATTTAGTAAAAACGAATGTCCTCGTAAAAGAAGTTCCTCCAGTCCTGCCTTCCCTGTTCCCTCCTGAGCCAGACTGGTCAGGTCCCTTCTGAAGCATGTAGCGTTTTCCCTGCCCAAGTGAGGAGCCCTTTTCCTAGCATTATGGCCCTTGTTGACTCTCTGCAAAATCACTTAGACTGTTAATTCCCGATCCTTTGGGAATCTTTAAATAATTCCTTCAACTTGAGCCTCATGGGAAAGACCCAACACATCTACTGGCATATCAGCTCTCAATTGCCTGTGGCATAATGCCAACATCCAGGACAGCTGCTCTCTTACTAGACAAAGCAACAGCCTTTAGCACTATGGAGATGGTGAACAAATCATGCTAGCATCCAGTATGAATTCTGTATTTCATTTCTTCAGAGAAGTGATTTGTCTCTGCAGTTACTGCTCTAACATCAGTGCTTGGTCCTGCCCTCCAAAAACCATACCCCAGCTGTTGGCTTTAAGAGCAGGAATCTTGAAAGGCTTGAGTTTTCAAGAGTCAAGTTAAGGGTAGCCTTAATTTAGCAGAAGGCCCTGCAAAAGGGTGCCAGGGGATTCCCACTGTAATGCTCAGGTTACCCCTTTTGAAATAAAGCACCATGGAAGGCATGGCTTTAGTTGAAGGTCAGACAGTCTATTCCACATTGACTTCTCAGATGATGCAGGTGCTTGGAAAATAGTTATGGGAACACCACAGGAAAGGGATCTCCCCCTCAGCATTGGGGTTCATAAGCAGTGTGTCCAGTTTGGAGAACTGTCCCTTCAGGGCTTCAGTGAGGAAAGTTAAAATGTTCCAACTAATGGTCAAAAAAGGAAAGGTGAAGTGGGCAGTTTCCAGGAAGAGGTTTGTGAGGCAAAGTGACAGGGCAGTGGCTTCTCAGCAGGTGTCTTTTCCAGAACATGATAGGACCTGGCCTTCGTGGTGTTGGTGCCTTTGGAGTCTGCCTGTACTTGCTGAGGAATCTGGGTCACCGTCCTTACAAAGCCAATTGGCAGAAACCTGTTCTCACAGAGAAGGGCTGTCCTGTTGGCAGGTTATGAATAGTCAGACTGTCTAAAGGGAGGCCCTTTTCCATTCCCACCCTCATGGAAGAAAAAATGAAATCAATCATTCATGCCTACACTGATTTGTCTTGTGCCTGGATCCGTGAATATGTGAGTTTGAGAAAGACAAGGGTAGCATGTGAACTGTGAAAAGGAGGGAGTCGGTCTAGCAAAGGATCAAAAACAAATGTGACTCAGCAAGGTGACCAGGAAAATAAGTACTCTTTGTGTTCCCGGGAACTGCACCCTCCATACCCTTGCTGTCAGTTAAAGTTGACCAAATTTATGTCCCAGCAATAACTCAACGTGCAGCTAGTGCTTGGCTGGCCCAGTACCTGCGGTGATAGTGACATCTTCCTGGTTGGAGTCCTCTAACGAACCTCCCAGGACTCTCCGCTGAAAGGCCCACTGTCTAGTCCTCTCCTTTACCTCACATTACCACCTCTGAGCACCCCCACCATCCTCCATTCTGGAGGAGCCATCAAGTAATAATACAATTCACACTTCCCGCACCCACAGACCCTAGCCAGAGCCTGCTCTCAACAGTCATTGGGGCGTCCCCCGATCAGAGCCTCCCTCTATCAAGCCTTTGTGTGCTGCCAGCTCTCTGTCCCACCTGTGACTTTGTACCATCCCTCTACCCTCCATCAAGGAAGAAGACACAGAGCTTGGCCGTTTGCCCACCTGCCCTTTATTGGACCCATCTAGCAGGCTGGCTCTAAGCCCTTCACACTTCTCAGACACCGCCCGTACGGTTTAGGAAGGTGCCATCATTCTGTGAAGGCCCAGAGCCACCCAAGTCTTGGAGCTCCAAGTAGAATCACCAACCAGAAGGCTGGGGGAAGGAAGGGAGACAGGGGGACTGGAAGGGCAAGGCTCTTCAGGGGGAAGCTTTGGTCCAGCAGTGTCTCCTGCAGGAGACCCTGACCCTAAGGAAAGATACCAGGGGCGGGATGGAGTAGATCCGCGTGCCGAGCAGCTCGTGTCTATATGGCAACTTTGAGGAGGCGTTTGATGTCAGGCTCAATGTTGATGGTCTGGAAGGTGCGGCTGTAGCGGCGGAAGGGCTCCCCCTCCGGCCCAATAAGGAACTTCTCAAAGTTCCAGGCCACATCCGAGCGGCGCACGGGGCTCCAGATGATGAACTTGGGATCGGTCATGAGGGAAAATGGGTCATCGTAAGGGTAGGGGAGCTTGTCCTTCAGGTAGGCGAAGACAGGATGCTCGTTCTGACCATTCACCTCACACTTTTGGACAAGGGTAAAGGTGGGCTGGAATCCACCCCCAGGGCGGACATACTTGAGACTGTTCAGGATCTCCTCATTCTGACAGTTCTCCTGGGGGAGGAAAAAGACAAAGAGCATGGAAGAGGGAAGGGGGAAATGAAGGATCCACAAAAATCTTTCACCCTCCCTTCCCAGGATCATTCTTTTCTGTGTAGCCTCCACCCTCCCCTGACTCTGTTCTTTCTTTTTCCTTCTTCACCACCTTTGCCTTACTCTTGACTTGGAGATTCCCCACTCACAGTTATTGTTTCATGGTTTGCTAGGCCATTCCTGAAAATTGTTGCAGTTCCTAGCGTGGCTGTTCTTACAGTGAATGATTTAGCACTTTCGACCTGCTGCTTCTCTCTCTAAACTGCCCTGAACAGTTCTTAGGGTATCTGTCTGAAACTTCAAGGAACCTTGAGTTCAGGGCAGTAGAAAGAAAGGAAAAGGCAGCTCAGGTGATGCCACCTAGAACTCTCCCTTCCATTGCCCACACGCACACTCACACATGTCTAGCCACAACCTTCTTTTCCCTCTGCCCTGATTTTGCCTCCGTTGCTTCTAATTACACGGGAGTGTTGAGTATAGCCTCTGTCTCAATTCTGCTCATTTCCTCAAGCTAAGGGTGAAATCGGGGACTAGAGGGATAGGATTTATAGCTTCTTGCTTTCATCTTGCCTTGTCCTAGATCTGAAGTGTAAGTAGGAGGAAACTTTGATGAAGGAAGACCCCATCCAAGGAAGTCTGGCTTTCAGGTGCCACAAAGGCGAAGTAAGTTAGAGACGACAGTCGATGTACTCTAAATGGAATTGCTCAGTGACCAACAGGGATGAATTAAACAGGATAGTGTTTAGGGTTCTGGAACAGGCCAGGGGAAGGAAAGTTAAGTGTGTGATAAAGGTTGTAAATGTGTAGTTATCATTCCTTTTACTTCCAGACTGCTCTCCCAAGACTCCTCACACTCACTCACTGGACTCAGCTGTGAAAGCTTTAGCTCTGAGCCTGTTACCGGTCTTTCCCTGCCCCCTGCCATCCCTGTCCTATCCCCACTTGGCATTCTCCACCCCTGACAACCCCCAAAGGCCCATGGAAACCCTTATTTTCCACCCCTCCCCCTGGGTCTAAGAGTCAGATATCTCCCTGTGGGAGAAAGTTCTTGCCTCTGACCTACTAGAACCAATCAGTACAGTCAGTTCCAGGCCATCATGACATCTTGAGCCCAAAGGTGATCTCTATTAGACTCCTTATCTCTCAATGCAAATGACCGGCTGGCTACCGGTAATGGATTCCCTCCAGCCACTAGCTGGCCTGATGGTGTAAGGGTGGAGGTGCCTCTGGGGTTTCGCCGGTTCTCTCGCCCTCCCTGGCCAAGCCTAGAGACAGACTGACGGTGACAGCAGGGATGGTCTGGGCTTACGTTTGTCACAGCCAATGACACTTCGGCCTTCCTGCTGTCTCTCTGCTAACCAATTCCTTGCCTTCATGCCACTGTGAATTGAACTGAGGGGGTTATAATTAGAGGGTTCACTTGAGGACATTCTGTCTGCTGGTGCTGTTAAAATAATAAGTGAAAATAGAAGAATCCCTAAAAGAACTTGAGGTGTGTGGGCTGAAGATCTAGAACTTGACCCAGTAATCAGAGACAGAGATTTGATCCCCGTATGGGCCACACACACACACACACACATACACACACACATACCCCAAAAAAGGAAAAAATCAGAGATAGAGGGGTGCATGTGAGGCCCGGAGGAGATCCGAGCATGTTGCAAACCCTGAGCCTTCCACCAAAATCACTCTCCCCTCGGCTGATTTAAAACAAAGTCCTTCAACCTAAATAATACAGTTGCTTTTGCTTTCACTTGCATATTACTTTATATTTTTCAAGTTATTTTTGTGTATCTTACCCTCTGAACCTCACAATTATCCCATGAGATAAGTGGCATTGTCCCCCCATTTACAGATAAGGAAACTAAAACAGAGAAATCAAGGGACTCTTCTGAGGGCACAGAGCCACGGAATAGCAGAACCACGTCTAGCTGGAACTAAGGTCTCCCGGGTCAGTTCCATCCTAGTTTGATTGGTGATCTTCTATTTCCTCCACTCATCCACTCAGCGGTTATTTAACGAGCACTTTCTCCACAGTGGAGAGAAAAGCAGACCCGGTACCAGCCCTCATGGAGCATAATGGGAAGACGGTAGACAACAAAACCCCACCCTTGGTGCTGAAGCCCAGACAGAACCGTACATCCTTCCTCTTGGTATTCACGTGTACCCAAGACCTAGATTAACAAAACATACCTACAATTCCAGACGCTCTGACACACACAGTCCCTCTCCCCCTCCCCTTAGCCGACCAAAGCTTCGGCAGCCCACCTCCTTGGGTACACTACAAGGCACCCCTCACCTGATGTCCAAATTGGTTGCAAGGGAAGCCGAGAACCACCAGGCGCCTGGGAAAGCGGCATTGCAGCTCGTTGAGCTGGGTGAAGTCCCGGCTGGTCGTGCCTCAGAGCGAGGCCACGTTCTCAATCAGCACGGCCCTGCCTCGGAATGTGTTGAAATCTACCTTCTCCCCGTCCAGGCTGGTGGCACTGAGGTCGTAGAAGGACTTGGCTATGTAAGCCATGGTGAAGGGACACAGCGAGGCCTGCAGAGTGGCAGGAACCCACGTCAGGGTCTGTTATAGGGGTGGGGAGGAAGGAGGAGCCTGGAAGGACAGGAAGGATTTCACAATGGGGCTTTGAGCATCCCCAGGATGACTTAGCAAAAAATGGTCACCCACCTGTAGGTGCTATTTCAACAGGGAGGTGGCTCCTCCTATTTACAGACGCTGAACAAAGCCACCTACCTGCCCCACCCTGCTGGCAACCTGGGAAGGGCCAATTTGATATCTATGTACAAACATGAATAATTCACTACTTTCAGGAAACTAGAGCCCCAAAGGTCAAATGGGGAGGAAAAAAGGGAGGGAGGGATGCAGGATTGACTCGGACCAGCCCCAGCAAGTCGTTCTCACTTGGCACAGACGTGTATTGTCGGCTGAAGGCCAACCTCTGATCTGCGCCACTGAGAGGTCAGGGTCTGCCAAGATCTGAAAGATGAGGAAGAGAATTGGGGGGCATGTCCCCTTAACTAGACCATAACCGAAATATACATATGACTGTGCACATAGTTTTCTTTGGCTGTTGTTTTCCACAAGCACACAATCAAAGGGATCCTTAGGAGGACAGTGTGATTTTTCTAGAAATAATGGCTTTCAGTGGCTCAGCGCGCCCCAGGCTGCAGAGATGAAGTTTGTCGTGATCAGTCTTTCGGTGAGTGATGTTACTTCCGCTGGAGAGGACCTTTGCCCTTGCCCCCAAGGTGCCCTTGCATGGCACCGACTCCAGTACTATGGGTCCTCCACTCTGCCTCCACAGGCTCAGGAGGCTGCCGTCAGTCGGGGCCGGGGTGATGGTGAGGAGTCAGAGCAGGGGAGTAACTCCCAGGGCATGTGCCGCACCTGCCTCCTCTCAGACAAAGGCTCGGTCCCAATGACTTCTCCTGGCAGGCTTGTGCTGCTCATTGCCCACCCCCCGCCCCCCTACAAAGGGAGTGTGCAGGGAGTCAAAGCTGCTATGGTTCTAAACCCAGCCAAGCCGCCCAGGTTTTCAGCACCAGCCATGGAACGTACTGCGGGACAGCTGAGGACCTAAGGGAAGGCCTAGTGCTTCACTTCATTATTCCAAACACCACCAGCTCGATAAATCTGATTTAAAAAAAAAAAATGGCAGGATTTCTCCATCAGGAAGACTGGCAATCGGGCTTGACCTGGCTTGGGGATTTTGGGAGTGTTATTTCAATAACAATGCAACTGTTTATTAGAGAGTGTTTTCACAGGTACGCGTCCATTGGGAACTGTCTTCTAGAACGAAGAATAAGCAAGGCTTGGGAGCAGCTGGTATTGAGAATCTGATTTGCTGAGAAGATGGAGGAACTACTCACCAGGGAGTGCCCAGCTTTTGTGTCTTTTGTGGCCTGTTCCGTGGCTGTTCATAGCATGTGGGAACCCATGTCCCCACTGGCCGCTCCCTCAAAACAAGCTCCCTTACTTGAGGGTGAATAGAATCTTTGGCCATTAAAAGAGGTGGCAGGAAATGCAAATGAAGTGTGTCCCCCGATTGGACTGGGTAGAGTTCCTAGAAACAGCCAATAAATGTCCCTACCAGGCCAATGAGTCAGAAGAACTTGGCCCTGACAGTGGGCTGAACTTCAGCGTGAACTTGCCAGACTCACCTGCATGCCAAGAGCTTCCCCAAGGACTCTCGGGCATCTGGACACTTCTTATTGGCTGCCCTTCTGGGGCCTCTGTCCAGGAAGACCATGGAAGTTCCTGAGCTGGGGGATCAAGTGGGGGTTCCCTCTTCCTCAGGGCCACACCATCCCTTTTCTCTAAGAACTTAGGACCCTCTGTCATGCAGGCTCTCGCCTTTCATGATTGAAAAAACTGATGGGCTCTCTTAAAATACCTCTGTCTCCAACTTGACCTCAAACTAGCCCACTTTCCAGAAGCTTATTACTTTGGACATGAACTAACAGGTATGGGATTCCCACGGCTTTCCATAGGGACAGTTGTTCTGGAAACTGTGCTGGCTTAGTAGGCAAAAAGTCTAGGTAGGTGGTTCTCAACTCTAGCTACAAAGGAGAATTGCTTATGGAGATTTTTTTTTAAAGTACGGACGCTAAAGCTTTTCCCTCCAGAGATTTCAGTTTTGGTGTTTCGGGCCATGACTCTGCCACTGTTACCCGAGGCCCTCAGGCACATTTCCTTACCAGCTGAATTTGTGTAATCACCCTCCTTATCTCGCACAGATAGGAGTGTTAGGATGGAAGAGATAAAGTATTGCAAGTTTTCCATAAACTGTAAAGTGCAGGTTAAGATCTTAGGCTACCATTGCGCCATCTTGTTTGACTCCTTCCTTCTTCATTCTATCCTGACTCCCATTTTCTGCCTCTTCCATCAGCTCTGTGCCCCAAAGGATAGTATTTTGCACCCCCAGGCCCCCGAGATTATAGTCTGCCTTGCTTCCCTGGAGTACCCGATCGCGGGGCTAGGACAAACTTCTGAAAGATTTAATCCCTCCTCATGACTTCAGGGAGACCTGTTACTGTTCCATCTCAGATAGAGGAGAACCTTCTTGGCTTTAAAGACTCCCTCAGACACAGGTATTCAGCACCTTCCCAGCGATGCAGGCTTCTTTCTGCACTTGTAGGCCCACCACAGAGCACTGGGGGCTTTGCTGGGGCTCCCCTGCAGGTGGTGTTGGGAAAGGTACAATAAGGATGACGCTTTGCTGCTTCCATTGTCATCCTTCTGCTGTTGCTTTATAAGGTTCTGGAGCCTCTTCTCCCAGCACTGCCTCTCCCTCCCTCCTTAACTGGCAAGGTCCCGGTGAGAACTCCTCCTAGGGGCTCATACAGGCAGCCACACCTGTGGTTTGAAATATTTTTTATTTTGTAAACATCTGTGTTTAAAATAGATGAACCCTGCTCACAATTCATATATTGGACCCAAGACACGGTACACGAAGTTCACCCATCACAGGGAGATGGTGGGGGCCTGGGAGCATGTGGAATGCCTGGGGCTGGGCTGAGTCTCAAGACAGCAGGTGCAGAGATGGTGAGGAGTAAACAGGCAGGAGCGTCTGCTCAACAGTCTGGGCCTAAGGCCAGATCCCAGGCCACCTCCCGGACTGGACAAGTTTAGGGGTGCGATGCTGACTCCGATACCTGGTGAGCGTAGTTGACCCTAAAGCTCCAACCCTCCTGCTCCCATACCTCTCCCCAGCGGTGGCCCTGGTGGATGGGCTCATCGGTTCATAAAATCTCCACTCCGCGTTTTCCCTTCCAGAACTCCTAGGTATAGTAAAAATTAGTCCCTCTGTCCTGAGGGGGCTGGGAGAGAAAGACGCGCGCTCTGCCTGACCTTCAGGGAACACTGTGACATGGATCCACAGGTTGGAGCCAGTGCCCAGCAAAACATCTGCTCTCCAAAGCCCCTGGCTGCCGGCACCCTGAGGGCTGGTTACTGTCGCCCCACCCCTGGTGTGACGCCGTGTCTTGACACCCGAGGAGTCAGTCCTCAAGGAAGCATCCCAGCCATATCATGACTTCATCCGAAAGAGTCTGCTATCTAAGTTTCTCATCAGCTAACAATTTATAACTATCCCTGCCCTCCTTTTCCTTCCACTATGTTAGCCTATCCCTGGTGCTACATCCTGAGCTACCCTCTCCTACTCTAAGAGTCAGGAGGAAAGGTTTGGTGATTTCTTACCCACCTTTTTTTTTTTTTTTTTTTTTGGAGGAATAAGGAAGCAGGGCTCTTAATCCTTCACACGTGTGGGCCCTGGACTTCGGCCCTTCGTCGGTGAATGTTCAGTGCTCGAGTCTTTGTTTTAGCTCCAGCCCGAGCCATGTGATGCCGCTAAAATGTAGCTTAAGAAGGAGCCTCCAACCCTGGGAAGGTGGGGAAGAACCCCACTAGGGCCCGTCACTGACTTGCCCCTTCTTTAAAGCGCCTCCCTCAAGCCACCTTTGGGCCATGTGGGGTTAAAGAAACTTCTTCCTGAACAAAGAGCTCTGGAGGAAGGAGTCCCCTTCCCTCCTCCTGCAGCCACAGTGCAGGTGGCTCCTCTTCAAGGAGCTAGAGGGGCAAGATGAGCGCTTTGTCTAGAAGGCTGAAGAGAACAGCACCAAGCATTTCTACCCGGGGCCTTCCTTCTCTCTCCCCGGGAAGCCCCTGCCCTTCTCCCACAGACTTTGAGTCTCAGGAAAACCTTGAGCACGGAAGGCTGGGTTTAGTGGTTATGTCACCTCTCACGTGCCAGGGGGGTCGTGGGGAAACGCCCTTCTTACACAGAAAGGGAAGTTGCTGCCATATTCCCTTCTGGTCTCCTCTCCCTCGCTTTCACCTGATATACAGGGGCTAGTCCTTCAGGTCCAAACACTCCCCTTTCTGGGGTGTGTGGTTGGCTCGTCAACATCAACATCACTGGCCTCGCCACCCGCCCCCCCTCCCCCAGGCTTTCCTTGTCCCTGCAGTGCCCTGAGGCCTTGGTACACATCTTTAAATTCAGGAGCCCAGGTGGGGAGAAATTGTATACACACTGCATGGGAGGTAGAGAATGGAGGTGACCTTTATCCCTACCTCCTCTCGACATTTTTTTTCTTCTCTGAAGCACCTGCTTCTGAGCTCACTTTCCGCAAGAAGCAGGTGGGTAGGCAGCCAAGCAAGGCCAAAGCTGGGAGGGGGGGATTTGCGGGGCAGGCAGGGAAAGGTGGGACAGCCCCAGTCTTGAGGACCACCAGTTTGGTGTTTCCTTCCTACCTTGATGTTCCACTTTCCCTGATCATTGGTGAGGCAGGCCCACGGCACAGGAAGGGGCGGTGGGGTGGGGAAGATAGGAAGAAGCACCCCGTAGGCTTTGGCCCCTTCACAAAGCAGGGTGGGGGGCGGTTCTCCCAGAAGAGTATGGAACATCCCCATGAGCCTGAGTCCATTCCCTTGGACAGGGTTAGGAAGAAAGGAAAGAAAGAAGCTGCCCTGGCAGCCACACAGCAGGACGGCGAGGGCAAGAGGTGTGAGGGGCTTTGATACAGAACACACTAGAAGGGGGAAGGGGACAAGAAAGAGAGGTGGGAGGAAGAGAGGAAAAGCAGAGAGACAGGATGCACTGAGAAAGAAGGAGCCCTGGAGTGGCCTCACTCCAGAGGGGGCCACTGTCTGGGCGCCTGGGGCGGTGAGACCGCGCCCGCAGCATACCGGGGGCTCCTGGCGGGCCTGTGGCGGGCAAACAGGCGGGAGGGAGCCCCTCCAGGCTGGAGGGCGGGGGCAGAGGCTGCTCTGAGATGACAGCGGGGCTGCTCTCAGGGCCAGGCAGGGGAGTAGCAGCTACTGGTATTCCACAGGGTTACCCGAGTGAGAGGAGAAGCAGGGCAAAGCCCGGACTCCCTGTCTGCCACAGGCCTCCCGAGGGGAGGGGGATCGGTGGGTGCTCCACGCAGGACCCTCAGCACCAGCAGGCTTTTGAAGAGTTCGCCGGGCCCTCAGGTTTGCCCTCCTCTTCCTCCAGCTCGGCCAATGCCAACTCGGTGCTGGCGCGTGTCCGGAGACCATCCAGCTCCTTCCTGTGGGCCTGCAGCACCAGCTCCGTCAGCCGCGTGAAAGACTGGGAAACCAAGGGTGGCGGGTGAGTGGGGTGCCGCCTCCTCTTCCCCCTGCAGCCCGGTGGCCGCCCCGGGGCAGGCAGGTGCTCATCCTCTGACCCGCCGCCTCCCCGCTCCGTGTAGCTCCTCGGGACTGGGCCCCGGAGGCAGGGCTGCGGGGCTTCGGGGCTCTCACCTCTTTAATGTTGAGGTTGGTGCAGGCACTTGTTTCATAGAAGTCCATGCCATACTCCTTAGCCAGCTGCAAGAAAAGAACATTCCTGAAAGGGAGTCAGTAAGGGAAGGGAGGTGCCCACAGCACCTGGCACACACTTGTGCCGCAGCCCTCACAGCCCATGCTGAACTGTCCCTTCTCAGACCAGGCGGGAGCTCCTTCCAAGACACAGGCCAGCCGAGAACGGAGAAGACGCTCCACAAAGCCCCGCCCGCACCCCCAGCCACCTCCCGGTGCACACACATGCATCAGGAGACGAAGATCCCCGTCTTGTGCAGGAGGTGGAATTGACAAACCCGGGCTTTGGGGTCAAAGAGACCCAGCCTTAGAGGCCAGTGATGCCACTCAGCAGCCGGACGACCTTGGACAAGTCACTGACTCTAAGCCCGGCGCTGCCATCTGTTAAAGGGGGATGAGGGTGTCTATCAACCAAAGTCACGGAGTGACTGAAAGAGGTCATGCGT